GTCCATCCGCGGGAAAGCCGCTTTTGCGAGGGCCAGGAGAGCCGTGCGATACGCCAGCGGTGGCTCCTTCTGGCCCTTGCACCGCTCGTGGAAGAGTTTGCGGCAGTCCGACGATGGCCCGTAGACTATGGTGAGGACCTGGATCGCCGACTGTAGCGTAAATCGCGTTGATCTGGGAGCTGTGATGAGCGTAGCAAGGGCGTCATCGTCCAGCATGGCCGGTAGCGCACTCAACGCCTCGTTGTCCGTCCAGCCGGCCATCTCTTGATGAGCGAGAAAGCGGCATTGAAAGGCCCCCCAGTCGCCGCCGTCTGAAACGAACTCCTTCAACACCGGCAGGCGTTGTTGAAACGATGGCTTCGTCTCTGAGAGGAGCCGCGCGCCATTTCCGGCCTCTCCGCCAGTGTTGGAGGGGCTGGGGACACCCATCGGCGGTCGCGCAGGTGATGACGATGCGCCCGCCGATTGGTCCTGACAGCGGGCGTCCGTTGGTGATGACGTCACCACCGCTGATTGGCCCACAGCGTCCATGTGGGGCTGCGACCCTCCAATCGCCGTGGTGGACACTGTCATGGCGGCAAATCCGAAATCTGTTGGCTGTGTTTCGGCGGGAATGACCGTTGAACGGCGTTCGTCTCTCTGCCGCCTTTGCGCCCGCAGCCCCGCGCGGTTGATTTCCTCCAGCGTGGAAGCCGCGGCGTATAGCAGCTCAGCCAGTCGAGAGTGAGCCGCCTGCAACCCGTCCTCCATCGGCGGCCACTCCTCCAGCGGCGGCTGCTGTTGGGGCGTCTGGGGTATCCCAGGATCGTCGGCCGCGGCCTCTGGCGCAATCCCAGGCGAGCCGTCCTCCTCCTGGGGTTCCTGTGATCGGTATGTACTCCTTGTGTCCATTTTAAGACCACTTCTGACACCAGTTGTAGTGGGTTCCAGGACACGGAGACGGCAGAATAGAAGCAGCACTATTTATTTAAACCTTAACAAGGGTTACACTAGAAGGGGTAGCGGCCCCTCCACCCGTATAACTCAGGAACACACCCCAGGCTCTCTAGCCTAAGCTCTAGGCTCCCAGTTCCTCCTGGTAGGGCTCTAAGGGAGGCTATCAGATCTGGCCCTGGTTCGGCACAGATCTCGGCACCCCGCTGACCAGACCGGCCCTTAGAAGGACTCTGACTCTGGGGCTCTGGGGCCGCACCACTGGCTTGCTGTGCCGGCCCTGAAAAGGGCAGCGGTCACAGGAGTTCCAGGGTCTCACCTAGCTGGCCTTCTTTCTTCACTGGTTGCTTCAGCCTCGGGCCCCACACTCTGCCCCGAGCTCCCTGGCTCCCCGCACTTTATACCCACTGGAGCCTTAGCGGACGTTGTTGTAGCCACCAAGGTGTGGGTGAACCACACCTTCCCGTGCCATGTGTTTATTCCCCATAGCACCCCTACACTTGCACACGCGACGCCGGTACCCGTAGTAGAAACGGTTGCGGGGCAAATGGGGAGTGGTCCTCCGACTTACCCACGTCCCGTTGAGGACGAGGGTTGGGCGGATGCGCTATGTTCCGAAACAAGCGATCTCTCCGGCTCACAGCGATGTCTTTAGCAAACATAAGTATGATATTGGATGCACCAAATTGTTGCGACATCATATCGACACGGGTGACAATGCCCCGATACGCCAAAATCCTTTTCGGTTGAGTCCCGCCGAAAAGGATCATGTCAAATTGGCTGCAGATGACATATTGGCCGCAGATATCATATCTCCGTCCACCAGCCCATGGGGAGCACCCATAGTGCTTGTCAAAAAGCACGATGAGTCCTTGCGATTCTGTGTGGATTTTCGGCGCCTAAATAAAATCTCTGTGGCCGATGCGTATCCACTTCCCCGGATGGACGATTCCCTGGATGCTTGGGCAGGCGCACTTTTTTTTCCACACTGGACTTGTTATCCGGATTTTGGCAACTCCCATTGGATGAGTCCAGACCGAAGACTGCCTTTCGTTCACCTCAAGGCCTATTTCAATTTAACCGGTTAACCATGGGCTTACATTCTGCTCCGGTGACGTTTCAGCGCCTTATGGAACTGGTTTTGGCTGGCTTGCAATGGGACGTTTGTCTCATCTATCTGGACGATGTCATCGTGTTCAGCAAAACATTTGACGAACACCTGTTGCGATTGCGCGCCGTGTTCCTCAAAATGCGCGCTGCAAATTTGAAATTCAAGCCGCAAAAATGCCACCTGCTCCGGGAATCCGTGCGGTATTTAGGACACATCGTCAGCCGATCGGGAATTTCTACCGATCCCGCGAAGACGCAGTGTGTCAGCTCCCGGCCGACCCCCACCTCGGTGGCTGAGGTCAGGAGTTTTATTGGTTTTGCATCCTATTATCGGCGGTTCGTTGCGAACTTTGCTACCGTTGCCAAACCTTTGCATGCCCTGACGGCAAAGGGAGCGAGGTTTTGTTGGGGCCAGGCCGAGGAGATCGCTTTCCGTTCCCTTCGCGATGCTCTCGTGCAGGCTCCACCATTAAGCTACCCCGATTTTTCCCAACCTTTCCTGCTCGATACTGACGCCAGCAATACGGGTATCGGGGGTGTGCTCTCGCAGGTCATCGATGGTGTGGAGCGCGTGGTGGCTTATGGCAGTAGGGTCCTGTCCCCGGCGGAGCAGAGATATTGTGTCACGCGTCGGGAGCTGTTGGCCATTGTATATTTAATACAATATCGGCCATATCTGTACGGGCGGCATTTCACCGTCCGTACAGACCATGCGGCATTACAATATGCCTTGCGGGTAGAGCAGCCCTCGGGGCAATTGTCCCGATGGCTCGAGGTCCTTCAGGACTTTGATTTTACTACCACGTATCGGAAGGGTGTTCGACATGCTAATGCGGATGCCCTGTCTCGTCTGCCACCCGCCTCCGATTGTGCTTGCCTCACGGGTTCGGGGCGTTGCAAGCCGCCAGATGATGGCACCGCGTTCGACGCTCCAGTCCTTGCTGCTGCCACCGAGGACCCCTTGTTGGTGGGTCCTATCGAGCAGGGGGGTAAGGACTCCTTGCTGGGGTTGCCCGTTACGGAATGGGGGCGCCTCCAGATGGAGGACGCATCCCTCCTCGCGTTGCGTCGTCGTACGAGGGATTCCTTGAAGGGAGTGATGGGCGTTGACTCGTTCGGATTGCGCCAGGGGCTCCTGCTGCATTGGGACGGGAAGGCCCGCCGGCACAGGCTGGTGGTGCCTTTTGCTCTACGGGGTAAGGCTGTGTGGGCTGCTCACGAGCGGATTTTGCACTTGGGGACCCACAAGACCCTTGCCATGCTCCAGCTGGACTTCTTCTGGCCGGGTATGGCTAGGGACGTGGATGACCTCCTGGGAACATGCACTCAATGCGCCCAACGGAAACCACCAGCGAGAGCCGCCTGTCCACCGATACAGTCAATTAGTCTCTTGGATTAATGAACTCGTTGCACTTGACATATTGGGGCCCTTCCCTACGACCCCTAAGGGTAACAAGTACCTGCTGGTTTGGGTGGAATACTTTACACGCTGGCCAATGGCATGGCCCCTCGTCAACCAGCCAGCAGCGGCCGTCGCCGAGGCCTTTGTCCAGGGCTACGTCCTCGACAAAGGTGCTCCTGAACGGCTGCTGACTTACCAAGGGAATAATTTCTCTGGTGTCCTTCTGCACGAGGTGTGTGCGCTTCTGGGTACAAAGAAAATTCAAACTTCTCCCTATCACCCGCAAACTGGTGGTATGGTAGAACGCCTGCACTGGACCCTCACGTCTTTGTTGTGTCACCAAGTGTGTGACTCCCAGACCGATTGGGACCTTCAGATCCCGGGTGTTTTGGCGGCCTACAGGATGGCTCCTCACACGGCGACCGGTTTCTCGCCGTTCTTCCTGATGTATGGTTGCGATGTTGACCCACCTATTACAACTCAGTTGCGGGTCTCCGAACCAAACGAGAAATCAAAATTGGCCGACCACATCAAATTTAACATCCGGAGGTTGACCGAAGCGCGGGAGGCAGCCGCCCAAAACTCTCATTCTCGTCAGAAGGCCAACGAAAGGTTGCGGTCGCACAAGTCACACACCCATGCTTGTGTAGAGGTGTTAACTACGCGCTGTTGCGTAAGCTGCATTGCCACCAGGGCAGTGCAGCATTACCCCTGGGTACAATGGTTGGGGTCAGTCGAGGTGAAACGGATCGTGGCCAGGGTTTGGTATGAACCAATCAGACGGTTCCATGTGGGAATGTATGATTGGTTCTACCTGGCCACGAAGGAGTATAAGACGGGTGACCCAACGGACCTCGGGGAGTTCTCTCCCTGCACGAAGACAGAAGACTGGGCTGAAGCCTAGCTAGGACCCTGGACCAGCCTCCCAGCCCTTCTAAGGGCTAACGCTCGGCATACCCAGCGGTCAGGACCCACCGGGCCAGCGGTGGGTCAGATAGCCTCCTCTAGGTCCTAGCCGGAGGACTAGGATAGCAGTAGACGTGTGAGTCCCGCCAAGTCCGGAGGTTGTACCTCCTTAGGTATCAAGGAGGTTAGCGGTAGACGTGTGAGTCCGGCCAGGTCCGAAAGGCTGTACCTCCCTAGGGTATCGGGTGAGGGGACCGAATATCCCTCTGTGTGTGTTAAGCGTTGTATAAGGAAATAATACAATAAACAGAGTGTGCCTCCTAAAGAAGTCTGCTCGTCCTTACAACACTACACTTGGAAGCCCGGGGACAAGGTTTGGTTGCACTGCCCTCATGTGCCGTTGGCAACCTCGGCAAAATTGTTGCGGCCATGGAGGGGTCCGGTGGTAATTGTACAAGTCATGCGGCCACAATGTATCCGCATTCAGTGGGGAAAACGCCGCTGGTACGTCCACCCCTCGCGGCTGAAGCCGTTTGTGACACCTCGCGCCCCTCCACCACACCACACAGGCCGAGCATGTGATGTGTCCGCTGACTCTGGGACGGCAACTCCGCCACCTGGCGCTGATATATCACTGTGCCATCTTCAGGTGCCCCGAGGATGACGGCCTCCAGGCCGCTTGCGCCACCCGGCGGGGATGAGGGCTGCCCTCCTGGGACGTCAGGGGGTTGTGCACCCGCACGGACAGCGCCCACCGCCGGCACGGCCAGGTTTCCCCCCTACGATGGGCCCGCAAAACGGACTCGTGCTAAAACGCACCGGTTGTTGTGACTTCTTGTTGCACTTGTTATGTTCTTCCTTTTCTGCACGGATGGGTGGCTCGGGTTGAATGCGGGGGGGGGGGGGGGAAGAATGTATATATATTGTACATAGTGAAATTTTGTACAGGTGGGCTTGGTTATTTGTTGGGGTGTTTGTTATTATGAGGCACGCACAGATGGGTTTTTGTTATATTTTTATTGTTGATGTTGTTACAGCCGGGACGGCTGCGAGTTGTACGGGAGGGGGTGATGTAGGGGTGTTGTGAGATGCAGAGGTACAGCCGATCCTTGGTGTGATCCTAGGTGGCTAAAACCACGTCCGCTTCTACAGCCCCGCCCAGTGGTTTGTGGGTATAAAAGGCGGGGAGTGAGAGAGCTCGGGGCAGAGTGTTGGGGCCAAGAATGAAGTACCAGGGAAGAAGGAAGACCAGCTAAGTAGAACCCTGGGACTCCCCTGACCGCTGTCCTTCTCAGGATCGGCAGGGCAAGCCAGTGGTACAGCCCCAGGAGCCACAGAGCCGACGTCCTTCTAAGGGCCGGTCTGGTTGGTGGGGTGCCGTGATCTGCGCTTAACCAGGGCCAGATCAGACAGCCTCCCCTAGAGCCCTTAGCTGGAGGAACCGGGGAACATAGGCTTAGGCTAGATCGCCTAGGGGGATATTCCTAAGTGTATTTGGGTGAAGGGGCCGCTACCCCTTCAGTATGACCCCTTGTTATAAATAAATAAGTGCTGCCTCTACTTTACCGTCTCCGTGTCACTGGAACCCACTACAAATGTAACACGTCGAGTTGGCAATGATCGTGTTTTAACATAGATGTGCACCTGTCTGCATAGCCAAACCATCATTGAAGACCCCAGCTGAGGTATGTACGTGTGTATGTTGGTCGCACTGTACGTAGCCAACCGTGCTAATCGAAAGTGCGGGGAAAGCACAACAGTGTAATAGCAAAATTTTATGACCCCACCCCAGTCCTATTGGCTGTGCTACTCAACGAACAGGAAGCTACTGTCAAACTTGTGTGGATCAATATGTAACAAACTACTCTGTACTCCTTCACGTAAACACTGAAGGATACGGACTAAGTTGCTGCTGGCTTCGTGCTCTGCTGCTCAATAAACCGGAACCAGTTAAACTCTACCCATTAAGGCAGCTTTCAGATCAAGACATTGCACCTACACCCACTTGGACAATAAAGAGAACAACAAAAAAAACTGTCCCAGTATAAGTTACTCACGTCTTAGTAAAAGCAAAAAAGTTATCACACTTTTTAATGTGCGATGATAAGATGCCATTATTCGACTCCATCGTCGCATGGTATAAAAGTGTAAACCCGTTATCTTACCTTTATAAAAAAATTGTACAACTGGACTCAGAGAAAAAAATATGCACAAAAAATACGCATACATGCGTTGTCATCATCGTCATCATCAGCTGGTGGTCCCCGTCCAACTTAATCTTCATCGCTACTGCTCCAGGAATCCTGGAAGCCACTGCGCTGCTTTCTTCCAGACTTCTGCATTGTGCACGAAAACAAAACACATTATTCAGCTCAAATACATTTGCTATCAACACAAAAAAGTAATTTTTATTACAAAAAACACCAAGTTCAAATGTATTTTAAATGGCCGCATTTATGTGTGATAATTGTACGTAATAAAATGTTTAATCGGTAGTTTTCAAGTAATGGTGTTTATATATTTTGTGGTTTATTACATTCTGTAATCCCAAAATGACTAAATTTTGTGTCTCCACATAGGTATCATCATCCTCTCCTGGCAGACTAACATTTGCAGGTCAGGTACCAAGTCACCACCTTGTGATGCACAGGGACAGCTGCCACTGGGAGTGCCCTTACAAATGTGTTGAGATAGGATGTAATGTAAGTCACTTCATATGACGCAGGTAAAGTGCTCCGAGAGGCCTCTGCAACAATGACACTCTCATCAAGCATACCTTCTAATTATTGTTTTGCAGTTCCAATGACCCTAGAGGTGTCTCACCTTGTCTGTTTCTTCCTCCTCCGGTTGAGTCCTGCCCATGTAGGGCACCCAGACCAGGATGTTACTGTCATTACCGCCACTATACAGCTCCTGTGAAGTGCCAGACGTGAGCCATTGAGCATCTATACCTCTCGTCTGGGTTTCCATTCAGAAGCTGAAGAAATAACTCGGCTTATTTGAATCAAAATGTCGTTGTACAGGTTGAGTAGATTGTCATTCCGATAACGAAATTGTTTCTCTTTGAACAGCGAAATACTGGTGTTCGGCAGGATGATGTATGCATTGTATTTACACTTGTGTCCTAATTGCAAATGTGAATGGACATAATCAGTCACATGTGGCCTGATTTTGACTTAAAACTTTCCCTGCATTCTAAATGCATTTATTGACAAAATATAAAAATAAATTTTTACACTGTTTACGAGTAAAACGTGTGTTTTTAGAAGGCCATACATATTTTTATTCATTCTCTGTTCCGAAAAAGTTCTAACTGGTATATAGCACTTGACAATGAGTGAAAACACCATGTGGCGGAGGTTCGTGACCTGTTGCCTTGTGCGACTTCGCATCGGAGCAGTGATAAACAAAAGGGTACACATAGGCGGCCGAGTTGAGGCTTTTCTCACCTGGAAGTCTGAATAATATTCACAGCAGTTGACCTTGTTGTAGTGGCCACTGAGCTGGGTGTGTGCCCGCCCGGAGTGGATCTCAAACGCAGTTACGTGACTGCCCATCGGAATAAACACGAGGTCCGGCGAGCAGTCTGCCGACACAGCGAACTTCACCCCTTTGCGGGAACCGTTGCTGACCCGGCCGTAGTTCACCTGTGGGAAAGTGAGGGTACGGGGCCAAGTTGTGAAGCCATAATGGGCCAACTATGAAGACGCAACCACCATTGCGACCATATAAAAATGTGCTCCAACATTCTACTTTGCTCCGGCGCTATTCCAGCTCGCCTGTCAAGTCTGGCAATGGCAGCAACTCCACAGCAGTTACATTGGGGAAACGAAACGACATGTGTCGGACCGCGTCCGTGAACACAAGGCGGATCTGAAACACGGTAGGACCAATACCTCTGCCGTTGCTGATCATTGTTTTAACGATGTGGGCTCACACAAAATAAATTTTTCCAAAACGGAGGTACTCTGCAAACCTACCGGCTACCTTCAAAGATTTGTTCATGAAATCATCGAGATATATAAACACAGACACAACTTCAATCGAGAGCATGAGTACAAACTGAGCAATCATTGGAAGGACGTTATTAACCAGGTAAAGTCTTAACTGACTGTGATGTTTCCATCCAACCTGCATGTCAGCTGTTATTTCGACTCTCTGTGTGTCTCTCTCTCTATGCCTCTCTCTTAGATCTCTCATGCTCACATGTCCGTTGCATTGCACTCTCATGCCTTTGGATTGCACTCTCATGCTCACATGTCTTTTGCATAGCACTCTCATACTCACAGGCCCTTCGGATTACACCTGTTGGGTTGCACTCCCTCGTCGAGGGGGCCACTCTTCTTCTCCTTTTATACAGTTACATGCTAACATTATGCTAATCTCACATTAACATAGCCACTTTGTCTAGGCAGCCGCTCTCCTAGCTTACTTTTACATGCTAATTTCTCACATTAATATCATGCTAATCCCTCACATTAACATAGCCACTTCTGTGCTCTCGTCGAGGAGGCCGCTCTCCTATCTTACAGTTACATGCTAATTTATCTCATTTACATCACTAGCCCTGGCCACTTCTTTATAACCCTTGAGCTACTCCCATTTCAAACCTTTTAAAACAGTCTGCCTCAGCAGCAAACCATGCTTTCCCACCTGATGATGGACGCTTGTGTTGCGTCCGAAATGTCGTGATTTATTTTATTTCATACCTACGTGACTTTACTTGAAAAAAAACAAAGAGTATGGTTATTTACTATTATTGGCCACGTAAAGAAATTGGAACTAATAAAATTACGTGACCCCAAGTAGTATCGACAAGTGAAATATCCGCTCTGGGCTCATGGACTAATAAGGCACCAGTGGCAGGGCCCCCATCAGTCACTGCATAATACATTCAAAAAGACACGCATACGCACACAGGGCTGGAGCTTTATATATGTGCGAAAACCGATAATCGCTTTGCAAACTTTTTTGCATGTGATTATCTAGAATCCAGAAGAGGTTTTTTTTTTTTTTGGGTTAGATCGCGTAAATATAAATGTGTCATTAAACCCGCCAGCACGTGAAAGCCTATGTTTCGTTTTAAAGCTTTCGTGACTGCAGGGATTCATATTCTTGGTTCTTTCGGTAAAGTCACGTAGAAGGGAAATAAAAAAATAAAAACAATTAAATTCTCACGACGTTTCGATTGCAACACAAGTAATCATCATCAGGTGATGATGATTGCTTGTTATCCACATGAGGCTATCCACATATGCAAACACAATTTCAACCGAGAAGATGGATTCTGGCTTAGCAGTCATTGGAAGGATGTGATAAACCATTTCGGGTCTTGATTGATTTTGTTCACGCTTATGGTGACTTTCAGACCGCATTCCATTCTCGTTCTCTCCCCCCTCCTCTGTTCCGAGCATAGATGGACTCGTCCGTCTGAACAACCGTTAGTCGCTGTCCGTGGTGCTAACGTTAAAAAAACCCCACTTTTTTCTAAATTTTTGTTGCTGTGGTTTTCACACCTGATGATGATTGCTTGTGTTGCAATCGAAACGTCGTGATAATTTTTATTTTTTTATTTCCCTTCTACGTGACTTTACCGAAAGAACCAAGAATATGAAAGCCTATGTGTTAAACTGATTATCCATAATGCAATAAAACGAAATTAACAAATTATCAAAATGCGAAGGGAGCTAATTGAGACATGCTTAGTTGAGTGTGCATTTGAAATCAAACACAAGTGATGCACTTGGCAGATTATTTTCAAACCCACATTGAGGTTAAGCTTCTCCTACTCGCGTTGTAGGCTTTAAAATAAGCTTGCTCCATCATATATCATCCAGGAGTTGATTCAGCCACACACTCCACTGAGATCTCTCAGATCTATTGTTTGTACCCTAGTCAGCATAACCGCCGCTCCAGGCTTAGAATCTGGGGTGACCAACGAGCTTTTGTTTGTATGTCTGAAATTCCTCGCGGTCGATGGAGACTTTTAAGCCCTGGCTGAAGACGCATATTTTAAACTGCATCCTCTATTTCTCTTATCTTGTCTCTTTAGTCTTTCTCTACCTGGTTACTTCTCTCTCATTTTCTAATACATGCGTGGGGGTTTCCAGGATTCATTGTGCAAGGGCGCTGAATGTGAACAATTTTTATTTCAGTATGGTGCGGCATGCGCTCACTTGGCTGGTACCTTCCAGTAGCCAGGACAAACTCGTGCCGCGTCGACCAGCGAGCTGCGAGCACCGCGTTCCGGTGACCTGCAGGAAGAGCTGCAGTCAGCACCTGTGCCACTCCGCTACACTCCATGTTGTTACAGCAGGGATTAAGAACCCTTTTCCTTACTGAGAGCCAAAGAGGACTTTCCATTGCCTTTGGCAGGCAACCACTTAACGCACACCACCAAGTCGCTTCTGTCACTACAAGAGGCCCTTACATTGACATTAGAAACATGGTGTTGCCAGGTCGAAATTATTGCCCTCCAGTAACCAATTCGTATGGCTAAGATCCTAACGGTGATGGATAAATATTGTTTGGCGGCCATTTTGAAAAGGTAGGTCTCGTGAAGCCGCGGACCGTACCAAGTAATGACATAGGCTGTGGCTGGCCCGTGGGCTATAAGAAACCTCACCCCTGCCCTATAGTGGTGAAGCCAACCATTATGGGTGCTCTCAAGACAGCAAAAACAGCTCTCACCGTTCAGGATGCGAGTGCTCGAGCCCGTTCTCAGGTCACACAGCTGCACTTTGCTGCCACTGGTTCCAACATGAGTCATCAGGGAGCAAAACGAGAGCAGAATTTAAATACAAACGTTTTTTTTACTGTTTAATTATTAGTTATCAGGGTTTATTGAAACATGGTTGGGATCATATTATTTAAAAAGTAAAACTTGTCAAATTATTTGGCATAAACCCAAGTTATACTACATTTAAATCTTACTGCAATTAGGGAGTGCTGCATTGCAATTGGAGACATGGTGACAATAAACCTTTTCCGAAAATATGTAAATTTCTGCCGGCTGTATGAAGAAACCCACTAGCGGCAGTATGTAAAACAAAAACAAATTATTAAAATACATCCTTGTTCACGTCAGCGGTATAATTTTACACTCGATATATCTCATCAAACACGTACTACAAATTCCGAGTAAAGCACATCATTCTTCTTGCAATATTCCAGCGAAGAGCCAATGAGAAGTTGCAGGAGTAGTCTACTGCATGGGTCACACTGCTATTTAAGCAATTTTTTATTTTACCAGGTAAAGCCCACTGGGCTATATAGCTCTTTTTCAGAAGCAAACTGGCCACAAATGATAGCTCAACGAAGTGGCTTATCACGTGGAAATCTATAGCAGCCAAATACTCTAAAAGCATGTTTCTAAATGTGGAGAGAAAAACTAAAGGACCTGGAGAAAAAGTCACGCGACCATGGGGACATAATGGAAACTCCAAATATACAGGCGTCAGGGTTGAGATGAAACCCACGACCTCCTGTATGCCAGGCAAGGTAGTTAACATCTTGCCAGTGGCGCTCACGGCGGCGAGATGTGTTCTCACCTCCAGAGCATTGGTGTCCCATGCCTTGAGTGTCTTGTCAAAGGAGCTCGACAGAAACATTCCTGTGTCGTGGGTGTACCACTGCACCGTCTCCACACTGTACTGGTGCACATGTGCATGGGACCTGCAATGCCAGGTACAAGTGCTCTTGACAACAATACAATTTGTGATTGTGACTGCATCTAAAGATGCTGCACAGAAAAGCATATGCACATTCATAGTTCTAAGGCCAAGTAGGGAGTTATAGAGAGGGGGAATGTATTCATGTACAGTGAGGGAAAAAAGTATTTGATCCCCTGCTGATTTTGTATGTTTGCCCACTGACAAAGAAATGCTCAGTCTATTATTTTAATGGTAGGTTTATTTGAAGAGTGAGAGACAGAATAACAACAAGAAAATCCAGAAAAACGCATGTCAAAAATTTTATAAATTGATTTGCATTTTAATTAGGGAAATAAGTATTTGATCCCCTCTCAATCAGAAAGATTTCTAGCCCCCAGGTGTCTTTTATACAGGTAACGGGCTGAGATTAGGAGCACACTCTTAAAGGGAGTGCTCCTAATCTCAGCTTGTTACCTGTATAAAAGACACCTGTTCACAGAAGCAATCAATCAATCAGATTCCAAACTCTCCACCATGGCCAAGACCAAAGAGCTCTCCAAGGATGTCAGGGACAAGATTGTAGACCTACACAAGGCTGGAATGGGCTACAAGACCATTGCCAAGCAGCTTGGTGAGAAGGTGACAACAATTGGTGCGATTATTCGCAAATGGAAGAAACAAAACTGTCAATCTCCCTCGGCCTGGGGCTCCATGCAAGATCTCACCTCGTGGAGTTGCAATGATCATGAGAACGGTGAGGAATCAGCCCAGAACTACACAGGAGGATCTTGTCAATGATCTCAAGGCAGCTGGGACCATAGTCACCAAGAAAACAATTGGTAACACACTACGCCGTGAAGGACTGAAATCCTGCAGAGCCCGCAAGGTCCCCCTGCTCAAGAAAGCACATATACATGCCCGTCTGAAGTTTGCCAATGAGCATCTGAATGATTCAGAGGACAACTGGGTGAAAGTGTTGTGGTCAGATGAGACCAAAATGGAGCTCTTTGGCATCAACTCAACTCGCCGTGTTTGGAGGAGGAGGAATGCTGCCTATGACCCCAAGAACACCATCCCCACCATCAAACATGGGGGTGTTTTTCTGCTAAGGGGACAGGACAACTTCACCGTATCAAAGGGACGATGGACGGGGCCATGTACCGTCAAATCTTGGGTGAGAACCTCCTTCCCTCAGCCAGGGCATTGAAAATGGGTCGTGGATGGGTATTCCAGCAGGACAATGACCCAAAACACATGGCCAAGGCAACAAAGGAGTGGCTCAAGAAGAAGCACATTAAGGTCCTGGAGTGGCCTAGCCAGTCTCCAGACCTTAATCCCATAGAAAATCTGTGGAGGGAGCTGAAGGTTCGAGTTGCCAAACGTCAGCCTCGAAACCTTAATGACTTGGAGAAGATCTGCAAAGAGGAGTGGGACAAAATCCCTCCTGAGATTTGTGCAAACCTGGTGGCCAACTTCAAGAAATGTCTGACCTCTGTGATTGCCAACAAGGGTTTTGCCACCAAGTATTAAGTCATGTTTTGCAGAGGGGTCAAATACTTATTTCCCTCATTAAAATGCAAATCAATTTATAACATTTTTGACATGCGTTTTTCGGGATTTTTTGTTGTTATTCTGTCTCTCACTGTTCAAATAAACCTACCATTAAAATTATAGACTGATAATTTCTTTGTCAGTGGGCAAATGTACAAAATCAGCCGGGGATCAAATACTTTTTTCCCTCACTGTATGTATGTACAACTTCTTTCGCACCGTACGTAGCCAACCGTGGAAGGAATAGGACTTACATGCAGAACATTATTGAAGGAAATTATCACTCAGGCAGAGGAGAACAGGGACGCCTTCATGAACAGGGAGATGATATCAGCAACGTGTAGTGCAGCCAACGACTATCCTACCACCTGACGAATAGATAATTATGAATCTTTTTATCAATTAAAAATGATTAAAAATATTAACAATTATACACAATGTATGCAACTTGCAAAGAACGGTAAGATGCCTACTAGGAAATACAATAAAATAATTTAGTCACCTGCCCACTGTGCAGATGGCCTTGCATGTGTACTGAGGTTTCTGGGAGACATTCTCCAGGTTGTAGATGGCAATCACTCCATCAGCTCCTCCAGAGAGCATACTGTTGTGCACAAAAAATGAATCCACAGCCACTTCATTCACACAGACAGCAACACGCAGGTACTACCACCGGCTTTCATTATTCTCTGGAAAGCATTGCATATATGCATGTATGTTGAACGTCTTTCGCACCGTACATTGCCAACCATGCTAATTGGAGGTGCGGCGGAAGGACAACTAAACACAAAAAGCAGCTCTAAAGAAATGGGTTTTCAACCTTGATTTAAAAGTGCATAGCTCCAATGGCTTCCTAATCTCGGACGGAAGTGTTCCAAACGGCCGCAGAAGCGCATCCGAAAGTACGCGATGCAGTGACCGCCTTTGTTCGATGGCTAACCATGGCTCAATGGTTAGCCATCGCTAGCCATCGCTAGCCATCGCTAGCCATCGAACAGGCTACTACCAGGCTACACCGTCCGCTAGCTCAACCACCAAACCTCTGTGAAAATAAAAAAATTGCTGATCAACTCCTTTATAGTTGGGGCAGTGCTGACGCTACGCCTGTTATACAGCATTTTGGAGAAAAGGGTTGGTGGATTGCAGATGATGCGAGACTCACTTCCCGTGGGCGTCGAGGTGCCATACTGTGGCTTGCCAAACTAAACTAAAAACTCAGCAATGTTTTTACTTTACCAGGTAAAGCCCACTGAGCTATATAGCTATTTTTCAGAAGCGACCTGGTCAAAAATGATAAATACTCTAAAGGCAGTACAGCAAACCCACACTTGACACGTTACTATATACGACTACAGAGCTTGGGCAATTATTGGCGCTGGCTCACTGTGCGGTTGCCTTCCTGCTTGTCTGTGGTTCCTCATGCCTCCGACTAGTTTTCTGTCTTTAAGAGTGTGTGTAATACTGATTGGCGTGTTACAAGATGGACTTATTATTATACAAAAGAAGAACACGCATGTTAGGCGACAATTTACATGCTGCTGGTGTGGCCACGCACTACTTATTTTCTGCTTGGTCGATGTCGAGGACATTGACGCCACTGCTGTGCACGCACTCCACGTCCCGCTCACTGCTCAGCTCCAGGTTGAACACCCTGCACAGCTCACAATCATGCAAACAAAGACAAAGATCCCCTGTATAGCCTAAACAGACTGTTGGGGCAAGTGCTGTTAGTGAGCACCTATGAAGGCCGACACGGCACACGAGGAGGTGGGTAGCCAGCACCACGCACGGTGGCCTTTAGCTCCCCAGTGGTGATGTTTACACATCACACAGGTACTCATTTAAGACTGAGTTAATCTCAGAGAGGCCCAGGACCGGTTCAGATAATCGTCACTGGTGTTGGCCGTTAGCGGGAATCGAAATCGTGTTGCCGGGTTCGTATTGCAGCGTGTGAACCGCTACACTACCGCTCGCCATCATGCACACACAAAAGGACACCTGGCACTCACGGGAGAAATCTCAAGCAGTACAACCCTTGCATGGATTATGCTGAGGATCTCTCTCATTCTCATTTGCCATGTTCTTCTCAAAGATGTCTGCAATCATGGCCTTCCATTTAGCTCTTTCCGTGATATTTACTGAAGATACTCCCATTTATATCCAATTGCTTATGTACTTAATTCACCATCATTTCCCCAATCAAAACATATTTAGTCTGCCGTTCTCATTATTTATTCTTATTCTCTTTCTGCTATCTTAAATACATGTATTTCTCATGTTGTCTATTCCAGATGTGTTTTTTTAGAGCCTTCTAAAATAACACATTTCTGCTGCTTCTAGTTTGCTTCGGGGCTTTGTAACTTTCCAGCTTTCACATCCACATAGGAAAACAAACTATAGTAGACTCTCGATTATCCATGCTAATGACGGGGAGGACAGACGTGGATAATTCAAAATCGCGGATAATGCAAAAATATACACTTTCTGCTGATCTCTGACAAAAACTAACGATCAATGATGCGCGTGCAGTGATTACTTTGCTGCTCCCGCCCAGAAGAGTCCGCCCACTAAGTGGATAGCAGAGCCACGGCAATCAACATCAAACTCTGCCGACTGTTGTAAAGATGTATAACGACTGTACTGTAGAGGCGATCACGTGAATTTCGGAATAACCAGAGCAAATATTTGTTTGATTTAAATATTTTACTTGAAATAAGCATTTCCAAGAATATTTTTAATGTTATTTATTTGGGCTTAAGGGGACATCCTTGAGTTATTAATTGATATCAAAATTTCAGGTGCGTAGTTACTCCGCAAATTAGATAAACCTCACGTGGATAATCGAATCTACTGTACACGTCCGCTGAGGATAAGGCCCCTTAAAATTACGTGGTCATGAAGTGCCCCCTCTGTGGTATAAAGGGTCCAACTCTCTATTGCGTTGAGCCCCCCTCTACTATATTGTGCAGCAGTCACCTCGATTGGGTCATCAGGCAGCACCCCACCTTGAGGTCTTGTGACAGGGAGCCTCACTCTTTTGACATTAAGAGCCCAACACTGTGGGTCATAAGGACCCCCCTTCCACTAAATTAATAGATCTCATCCTGGACCATTGATCTCCCGATAGGGGTAAGAGCCGCTCTCTCCATCGTGTCACGAGACGCCATCCGACCGCCCCCCCCCCCCCCCCCCATGAAATGGGACATCAAGGTCTCCCCATCTCCCTTCTGTCACCGATCTCCCCTCCTCACGCACTCGGCAAGTCTCACCCTATCACGGCTGAGGTACTGACTTATCTCACGGATTCTCAACACTTTCGGATTCTCACACTCCAATAATCTCACAAAGCAGCACCAGCATTCACTCGTACCTCCTTACTCTTGCGCAATCACCCCACAATCTCGCAATGACCACGGCATTCTCAATCACGCGCAAAACAATCACTAAATCTTACGCATTCACATCTGTCTTAAAGAAAGGCCACCAATCCTCGAAGTCACTGGCGTGGCCATCAACCGCATCAGAACATCCACAGGTTCATGCACACATCTCCATGAATGGAAAATGTAAAAAACCACCGGGCAATTGTGGCCCATGAAACCCCAAAGAACCCTATAGCAAAACTACTGTACTCCGCACTCGTTCAACGAAAAGCAAAAATTACACCGACCTCTCTACCGAATAACCTCTCATCATGTCTAGCAGAGCCTTAACGATTGACATCTATCTGCTGGACACACTGCTGATGCCTTGCCGCAAGCAAGAAAACAGAGCGCCCCCCCCACACGCCCGTGCCGCACCTTCGCGTGGACTCGCCGACGCGCAGCCTGGGCGGCTCGTCCGCTCCGTTGCGCCGCGACGACAGGAGACCCAACATGACTCATAGCATCAACGCAACTATAATAACGAAGCCACTGTTATTGTAGCAGCAGTGATAACAATGACGCCCCCCAAGACAGTGGTAACGATATCGCGCTACTTCGGCCTACTTCAGGCTTCTCCCCCCGCTCAGGCCGCACCGAGGCCCAGGTCGCGGAGGCCCCGGCCCATGAATGAGGCGGCTCGGCATCGCCGACCGACCTCCATGCAATCGATTAAATCAATTACCCCCCCCCCCTCAACGATTGATCAATCGAAAACTCGCGCATCCGTCTGTTGAGCGTGGTAATCGAGGATTCTACCCACAGGGTAAACCCGTATGCACCAGAACGTGAGTTGCTACGTAGGGCGAAAGTTGTGCGCGGTGCCAATAAAGTTATACAATTGTGGGTCTCTCTCCCACAAACCGCAGCTAATAAAGTTGTAAACATTGCGGTCACACAAAACTACCGGATTATAAGACGCACCCAACAAAGGTATACGATTCCAGTCACACACAACTACCGGATTATAAGACGCACCCAACAAAGTTGTACATTTCTGGTCACCCACGTACACACCTACCATATAACACGTACTCAAAGTTATAAAATTCGGGTCCCATACCCGTACCGGATTATAAGACGCACCCAATAACGTTTGACAATTTAAGTCGCACCAATACCCGGCCATTCGCCACGAAGTGACGGTGACGTCACCACGGCGTCTGTGCCAGGCTAGGTGCACTTTGAAGCCACATGAAGTGTCGAAGGCTCGCTGACCAGGAGGTCTCGGGACAGACCCAGCAGGTGCCATCGGCTGGTTGACTGAAATGACCGGGAGATGCACCAGCTGTGCCAACTCGCTGAATTGTATCCGTCCGGCGCTCCGCTCGCTGTTATGAGCGTCGCTCCCCTGCCCTCAGTTGTTGATGGAGGGTGACTGCCCCCAACTGCCCAGCAGCGTCCTTCACGAGCCTCCTCCAAAGAGTCACACGAACCTATCCGATTATAAACCACACCCAATAAAGTCACGTAGATAGAATACAAAATATAATTAAAATAATCAAAGTGAGCGTACTGACAGTCTTTTATGTAGACTGTAGCCTGGTAGACTGCAGCCTGTTTTTTATGCTGGTGAGCCTATTGGCAGTCTATAATGCAGACTGTAGCAATGGTTATAAAACTGAACCTGAGTGAGCGTAATGGCAGTCTATAATGTTGACTTATTCGGGTTCTTTCAGTGACAAAAATGAATAGAAATACATTATTATTTTTCTATCCATGTGTCTTTACCGAAAGAACAAAATAATATGAATTCCTGCAATCACGAAAGTTTTAAGTCAAAATGTACACGTGCCTGTTTTTAAGACACATCGAATAAAGTTATACTGTACAAACATGCTCTTTGGTTTCTTCGGTAAAGTCACAAAATAAATCATGACGTTTCGGGCGCAACACAAGCGTCCGTCATCAGGTAAGAAATCATGATCTGTTGCTGAGGCAGACTGTTTTAAAAAGGTTTGAAATGGGTGTAGCCCAAGGGTCATAAAGAAGTGGGCGGGGCTAGTGATGTTAACGTGAGAAATTAGCATGTAAATGTAAGATCGGAGAGTGGCCTTCAATAGGCAAGAGCGTCAATGCAAGAGAACCACCGCAACAGTGGCCATGCCAGTGAGACACAGCCCATAACACAGTAAGAACCAACGATACATCGAGGCAAAGGGAGCAGAAGTGGCCATGTTAATGAGACCCCAGCCCGTTAATGCAAAGGCATCCCACAGGGCAATGCAACTCAGAGAGTCAGAGATAACAGCCAAACGGCAGGAAGGATGGAAGCATCACTGCGAGTTATGACTTTATCTGGTTAATAACGTCCTGCAATTGTGAGAGATGGACTATAGGGCATGTGAGCATGAGCGTGTAATCCAAAGGACATGTGAGCATAATAGTGCAATCCAAAGGACATGTGAGCATGAGAGTGCAATCCAAAGGCATGAGAGTGCAATGCAAAGGACGTGAGCATGATAGATCTAAGAGAGAGGCATAGAGAGAGACACACACACACACAGAGTCGGAAATAACAGCTGACATAGGCAGGTAGGATGGAAACAAAAACAGTCAGTTAAGACTTTACCTGGTTAATAACGTCCTTCCAATGATTGCTCAGTTTGTACCCATCTTCTCGGTTGAAGTTGTGTCTGTGTTTATATATCTGGATGGCTTCATGAATACATCTCTGAAGGTAGCCGATAGGTTTGCAGAGTACCTCCATCTTGGAAAAATCGATTTCGTGTGAACCCACAGCCTCAAAACAATGATCAGCAACGGCAGAGGTATTGGTCCTCCCATGTTTCAGATCTGCCTTGTGTTCACGAACCTGGTCCAAGACATGTCGTTTCGTTTCCCCAATGTAACTGCTGCCGCAACCACAACTCAGTTTGTCGACACCAGGGTATTGCATGTCAGGAATCACATCCTTTACAGATGGGATTAAATCACGGATTTTGTGTACTGTGTTGAAATTAACCCGGATCTTGTGTTTGTTTAAGATTTTGGAAATATTTTTGGTAACCCCTGCTATGTATGGTAAAGTGATGGTTTTGGTTGAATCCTCAGAAGGTTGTCTCCCCATGGCTGGGGAGACAGCTTTGCGGATTGTACGGTCCGAGTATCCGTTCATCCTGAGGGCTTGGTGTACATGCTTCAACTCACTGGCTAGGTGGTGCCTGTTGGAGATGCAACGGGCCCTATGGTGTAGTGTTTTGATGAGCGAATTCTTCTCGGCTTGATGGTAGTGGGAGTCAGGCTTTAGATAGGCATCCGTGTGGGTGGCTTTCCTGTAGACCGAATGTCCCGACGAGCCATCAGGTATCTTCTCGATCAAAACATCCAGGAATGGTAGCTTGCCATCCTTTTCCACTTCCATGGTGAATTTGATAGACGGGTGTATGGAATTGATGTGGTTGAGAAATTGGTTCAGTGCTAGCAGGTCATGTGGCCAGATGACGAACGTGTCATCTACGTATCGCACAAGGAAGGACGTAGGGTGGATGTCTGGATGGTATCTGTCTCAAATTTCTCCATGAAAACATTCGCTACCACTGGCGATAAGGGAGGTTCCATTGGCATACCCTCATTTTGTTTGTAGAATGTACCATTCCAGGTGAAGTATGTGTTTGTAAGGCAGTGCCTTACCAAAGTTGGTACATCTGGATTCAGTCCTTGTTGGACCAAGTCTTCAATGATTGCAATGGTGTCAGGTACAGGTACATTGGTGAACAGAGAGACTACATCGAAACTGACAAGCAAATCATCTGGAGACAGTGAGATGTCCTTAATTAGAGAAACCAAGTGAGCTGAGTTAGTACAGCTGATGTGTTATTAACCAGGTAAAGTCATAACTCGCTGTGATGCTTCCATCCTTCCTGCCATTTGGCTGTTATCTCCGACTCTCTGAGTTGCATTGCCCTGTGGGATGCTTTTGCATTAACTGGCTGGGGTCTCATTAACATGGCCACTTCTGCTCCCTCAGCCTCGATGTATAGTTGGTTCTTACTGTGTTATGAGCTGTGTATATTACTGGCATGGCCACTGTTGTGGTGGTTCTCTTTCGTTGACGCTCTTGCCTCGTGGAGGCCACTCTTCGATCTTATATTAACATGCTAATCTTTCACATTAACATAGCCACTTCCGTGCCCTCGTTGAGGAGGCCGCTCTCCGATCTTCCATTTACATGCTAATTTCACATCACTAGCCCCACCCACTTCTTTATTACCCTTGGGCTACACCCATTTCAAACCTTTTTAAAACAGTCTGCCTCAGCAGCAGATCATGCTTTCTCACCTTATGACGGACGCTTGTGTTGCGCCCAAAACACCCTGATTTATTTTATACCTACGTGACTTTACCGAAAGAACCAAAGAGTATGGATTCCTGCAGTCACGAAAGCTTCAAATCAACGGATTATAAGACGCTCCCAATAAAGCTGTACAATTTTGATGCCCTGTGCACACAACTACCGAACTGTAAGACACACACTCGGTAAAGTTACACATATTGTCACAAACGCACCCACCCGATTATAAGACGCACTCAATAAAGTAATTCAAATATGGCCATGCACGCATCTCATGGCTTATCAGACGCAGCGAGTAAAGGCATGGAATTCCGATCACACACACACCTGCCAGATTATAAGACGCACCCGATCAAGTTGTACAAATAAGGCCATCGTGTTATTCACGAACGCGTTGATGTTTTTCACAACATGGATAACTGAATCAAACTCACGATGTTGGAATTGTGGAATTTCATAGACTCGTTATATGCCTCCAGAGTAGTATACTGACTCAGATGAAACGATTAAGAGGGGAGAAATAGACGTGGGAACACAGTACACCACAACAATAGATTGCTCTGCATGGTTGAGCATCCTGTATGGGGCCCGCAAGCTCCATGCCAGCTTGTTTGTACAATGCATGGTCACCTATCCAGAGTAGTATCCAGGTTCAACTCTGCTTAGCTTCCTGAGACTGGATATATTCAAGGTGATATTATCACCAGAGTTGCACCAAAACTGATAAAATCGTTAAATGAAATGTGAATATGGATTGTATTGAACGGAGTTAAATCATTACAATGGTCGACAGTTACATCTTTACACATACCTTACTCTTTGGTTCTTTCGGTAAAGTCACCGAGGTAGAAAAAATAATATATCACGACGTTTCGATCGCAACACAAGCAATCGTCATCAGGTGAGACAACTACAGCAAGTAAACTGCTGAAGTAGTACTTGCGGAAAAACAAGGGGCTCACGATTGGAAAGGTTGCGAGTTGCAGACCTGGTTGGGGATGAGAATTGAATCAGCCTATCATACCTCCGAAGGAAAATCAACAGCGGTTGTCCAAATTTGTATTTAAAGCTTTCATGACTGCAGGGATTCATATTCTTGGTTCTTTCGGTAAAGTCCAATTTACTCACCCCCGCCATAGGAATGTCGCCATTGGAATGTCGAATTCTCACCACTGGCTGTACAGCGAAGATAAACAACTGCCTCAATGTTTTGACCTAACTACGTGTTAGTAAGCTCGTCCCCCTGTGTGAACTAAAGTAGAGTGTGCGTGTTAGGATCCAACACTCCCTGCTGAGTGTGTACGTCCTCTGCATCGGGTTCATGGATCAACTATGGGTGAAGGTCTCTCATGCCCTAATTTCTCAACAACTCCCCCTCACAACTACTGACTACTCACAACTGCCGACTTCTCACAGCTACCGATTCTACACTACTCACAATTACCAACTTATCACAACTCACAACTACCCACTCCTCACGACTACCAACTCTTCACAACTACCGACTCCTCACAACTCCCGACTCCTCCAAACTACCGATTCCTCATTTATCCTCACAACTACCG